AAAGTGGTTTAAGTCACTTATATTTGCTTCTGAAATATTAAAAGCTCTGGCCTTTAAATATTCTATCGTAATATAAATGAATGCAATACGAAATAAATAATAAAATCGTTCCTCTTAAATCGATGACTTACACCACTTTCATAATTATAGACACGTATCACGATATGTGTTGAACACATCACATTCGATCAAACACATTCCCTTTTTTATTATAATCAAAATTAAAACACCATTTAAATATACATATTATATATTATATAATAAATAAATATTATATATTATATAATATTGTGTATTTAAATGGTGGTTTAATTTTGACTATAATACAAAGAGCGAACGTGTTTGATCGAATGTGACGTGTTTGTCTTCATGTTCTGATTCTGATTGCATGATTATGACTGTTTCCTGTCTTCGTGTACTTTATGGTTTCGCTAGACTTTCTATGGTGATAGGAATTTAAACCAATTTGTGCTAGTATGTTCTTTCGTCCACCGATAATTTATGGATTCCTACTAGGGCCTAATCTAAGTGGTGTCAGTATGGTCTGATTGTCCACGAGAAATAAAACACTGATAATAAAGGAACGAACAAGATTGCTATTGACTAGAGGCGTTCGGTACTGATGGGAATGAATATAGAGAACGAACAAACCGACCCTATGTTGCATAGGATCATAGAAAGGTAGAAATCCGTATCACAATTAATCCTTTATGAACGAATATCGCAAACGTATACTAATTCTACTGTCTAAATTGTAAAATCTTTAATTTTACCTTGGTATATGGAAGAAATAACACCCGAGCTGCGAAGCACGTCTGCCGAGGTCGACGTTCTGTTTTCAACTGACTGGTCGTAGCGACGTCCCAACCGTCGCCGTTTCTATTTGTTTTTCCTGGTACAAGGTAACGCGCGCGTATACGTGTGAGGCGATTAAGAGAAGCGCGCGTCTGAATGTGTGTGTTGCCGAGAAGTGAAACGGAGCAATTATACTGTTAGAAAAATACGTTTACATCGGCAGCAAAAATTAATTTCGTATATAAAGTACATGGTTGAACTGTGCGTCAAGCAAGGTTCTGCGATGCAATTGCTGAGATGCAGTTTCCTTAAGATGCAAATTGGAATTAGAGACCCGGAGGATGAACCGTGTCGCTTATACTCTGACACCATAGTCGGTCAGTCGCTTTACGGAATTACCTAAGAAACGATGTACCTTCGTTGATTAACGAGGAACAAGAATACGTTGTCCTTTTGCAATAAACAAAATCCAAAATCGCAATATATTTATATATTAATATAGGATAATTGGAATGAGTACGGCCATAAAAGAATGTTAACCCTTTGACTGCCACGCCGAAATCATATGTTTCCCTCAGGACGCCACGGGAGTGCACCGCACTAAAAGAATGTTAACCCTTTGACTGCCACGCCGAAATCACATGTTTCCCTCAGGACGCCACGGGAGTGCACCGCTAGATACAAAATTTGTTCTAATATGATTCCGATGTTTTAATAAAAATTTTTAATAGTTCAATGGAGCACTTTTTATTTCAAAGTGTCTTCTACCACCACTGTGGCAGTCAAAGTGTTAAGAGTATTTGAGACATAGGACGGAAGTGACCACGTGCAGGAGGATCGAGTGTGAGGGATGTTTATGACAAAATCGAGTACGAGAAACAAATGCATCCTGAGTGATTGAAGCATCTGGCCCACTGAGATTGCGTGAGAAATGTATGGTTGAGGAAGGAAACCTGAGTATGACAGAAGACAGAGTGTAAAGTTAAAATAAGGGTACGAGGATGCGAGCAGGTGAGTTTTTGAAGTCAGCAGAGTTTCCAAATTAGAAATCATAGAAGTTGCATAGTTACTATTCTATTATATCAGTCTGTTATTCTATCAATAAAGCTTATTTCTTTCTCTTAAGTATTGCAATATTATTCTACTCGGTCCATTCCAATATTATCCTAACTTAATGTAGGAAAGGAATAGGTAAGGCCCTGAAAGAATGTGAAGAGTGTTTGGATTTAGAACGAAAGTGACCGCGTGCAAGATGATCGAATGTAAGGGATGTTTGTGACAGAGCCGAATGCAAGTGAAGAATGAAATTAAATGCAATAGGAATGCATCTAAGTGTTTAGGATACCTGACCGACCGATTGAGAAAGAGAGCGTGGGTATGAAAGAAGACAGAGTGCAACGGTTTAAATAAGAGTGCAAGGACGCGGAAGAGTCAGAGTAAGGATCAGAGAGTGTATCAGAGAGTATCAACCCGTATCAAAGTGTTCTAAAGTCAGTCATAGAGTTTTGAAGAGATAGCCGAGAGTTACTAGCGAGTAGAGTAAATTATAGTTCAAAATAAATCATTTTTACATTTACGTCACTGCTTATTCTGTTGCCTACCCAACATTCCTAAATTAATATTGTAGAATGGCGAGGCTTGCAAGATGGTGTTAGATCAATAGTCAGATCAGACCAATAATGATTTTTAGGTTTCGAGGACCTTTCCTATTTTATTTTATTTCCCGTCAGAGGTCGTGCTTCAGATTTCGGTTTATAAAGACCTTCTATTTTCTAGAAAGTCTTAAACGCGGTACAGTACAGAGACCATTATTATAACTCATAAGGACACGCACATTCTTTTATATCTGTATATTTGTATTTTTCATTGATAATGTAGGATGGCGAAACTGGTCTTGAGACACCGAAAATTGACGAAAGAACAGGAACACGATAACACAGACTCAAAACTCGTAAACTGATTTAACTCGGGGAAAGAACGCCAAGATAACGAAAACGCGCAAGGACGCACTCTTTTAATACTCTCTTTCCAACACCAAGCGACTCACGCTTGTGCTGGTCACAACCGATTTTTAAGGACTCTGTTTTGCTTGTCGAGGACCACGCTTTTACCTCCCCACAGAGGAGTCGCGCAACTTAATTTTGTTACATAGAATAACTTTTCGATTTGCTTCTAGAAGATATCGATCGGTTTACAATTTGTTTTTCTTGGCAATAGCCAATTCGCGATTTCTTTTGGTATCCTACAATATATTTAAAAATAAACGAATTTTCCACGGGATTTTACAACAGTTTTCAACGGAAAGGATCCATTGCAAAATTTGCCCACGCATAGCCACTAATTCTCAAGGTACACGATCCCTGACCAACGGAACACAGGCCGGATTCTCGTCGTCGCTGACCTAGCCGCTGCTCCTGCTGCGTCTCATCCATACACATATCGGCATTACAGGCGTGTGCACACGCGCGTAATAGTAATTTAAGGCGACGGCACGAGAAGGCCTGTTCCTCGTAATTTCATCGACGCCGGTAAATCGCTTTACCGGGCATGATGTATTTTGACGAGCTAATGGATATCGCGTACAGATTATCATGCTAAAGAGACGTTAATTAACACGTCGCTCGTTGTAACGGCCGCTTACACCGACTGGCCTGGCACAGGCTGGCCAGTTTACGCGCTATAGATACGCGACACAACGCGGAGAACGAGAGGTGGAGGCGATCGACGACCGTTCGGGAATACAAATGGCGGACGGCCCCGGGGCCTATCGGCTGCGGCGCTACCGCGCGATACGCGCGGATTTCCCCGTTCAAAAGAATGGAATTACGCGGCCGCCGGTAGCGGCGCTTTGTTCGCTCCCTCTTCGCCACCCCTTCCTTTTCCACCGAAGCCGAGCTAAAACTGTAATCCGATTTCCTTGACGAGAGCAATTATAAAGAGTGGCACCGCATTAATTCTGCCGGTACGACCGCCTCTCGCCGCGAAATTGCTTTATAATTGGTCGTTCGTATAAAAATCTGTCGGCCGCGATGCTCGTCGCCGGTCGAGGTAGAAAAAGCCCAGAATGGTCGAGAACCGGTGTGGAAACGCGACAATCGCGTGCGCGTCCGAGCGCCTCGATTGCAAGAGTAAACAAGGGGATGACAGGCGTATCGAAGAGGGTGGTTCTCGCCGCTTGGCATTCCGCGTAACGTTCGCTGTTCCGAGGCACGAATCGAAGCATAGACAGAGCTCGTCTGATCTTCTAGAATCGTCGCTTTACCCTCGAACGCGGCGCGTGAGGATGTACATAATTTCGCGCAATGACGGGAATTCAGAGCGCGGAATGAACGGAAAGAAACGGAAAACTGTCCTCGCGGGTATGGAAATGCTATCCCCACGAAGACTTCGTTATAAGTTCTTGACACACTTACGATTTAACGTGATTTCTCGGTAAAGCTTATGAAAAACCACCGCTCGCGTAGTGCCTTTAATCACTGCTAAAAGAGTTAGCCGAGAAGCTTCAAACAAATTTTAAGTAATAGTGCTTATAAAGTTTAAGCGTAGCTTCGAAGTTGACCTGAATAATATTCTTTTCTTTCCTTTTCTTTTTCTCCTTTCCTTTTTTTCTTGCTCAAAATAACTTCCAGATGATGCGAGTATTAAAAGTTGCAGGAAGATATAGCGTCCGCGTGAGCGTCGAGGAGGCGTCTGACTATAGCCGATCCATTACTACTTGCACTCTTCCTTTTCTCACTTAACCGAACGCGCGCTAAATCACACTGCTCCCTCTCATATCCCCGTGAACTTTTTCGCCATACTTTACGCATTCGCTGAGACAAGAGTTTCTAAATTAATAACAACTTCCAGCCAACTATGTGGAAAGCGTGGGAAATCATTTTCCGGCCCCGTTCTTAGCTTCATCTCCCGATAAACGGTTGCCGCGTAACGAACGAGCTTAAAACCGATATTCCGCGAGATCACGAGAGGAAACATCGTCGTCCCGCTCGGAGACGCGATCGATCGCATCGATCGGTAAATGAATTTCCCGGACGGGGAAATTCCTCGAACGCCGTCGCGGCGTTCTTAACGACCGCAAAGGAGACACGGTCGAGTCGGTCGCGAGCTCGAGGTCGGACGAGAAGAAAGAAGGGAAAAACGTACAAAGGGGTTGGGTTGGCCGCTTTCGAATCGATCGAGAGCAGCCAGAAGGTGTGTGTACGTACCTCCATGCCACGTCGATTTCTCCATCGCACCCACTTGTTGAACCCCGGTCGCCAATATTCGACGAAGTACTCTTCGGTGTACTCGACCCCCTGGCCGTTCCCGAACCTGCCCTGAGTCCTGGTGGACGTCAGTATACGCGGACTGTGCAGGTTCACCTCCAGGTACTCCTTGCCCTCCTTCGTCACCATATTTTTCGGGCACCAGGCGCCGCCACCCTTGTCTTGTCGCAACCTGCGGAAAGCGAGGAATTACTTGCAAGAATTATTACCACGGCTCCGCCATGGGAGCATTCACCCTTATTTCACGTTTATTCGCGAGTCAACGCCTTCGTGAGTTCGCGAACAACGCGTTTGCTTTTGTAAAAATGTCGAATCTTCTAACGGGTAGATACAAAAGCGTCCCTTGTTCGAACGGATAAGTGATAAAAATTATATTTAATCCGACGCGGGCTGCACGTCGAATTTCCATTTTTACCAGACGCAAAACATATTTTTCCAACCCTCGGTGTTTCGATACAGCGAACTCGCGGAGGAATAATTAATGGCCGCTTCCTCCACCCTGTCTTTCCCCCTTTTTTCGCCGGACTGGTTGCGCAACCGCGATCGACGGGTGCACGAGTATAAATTAATGACGCGCCGATTGATTTACGAGCGACCGTTTAACCGGATGTATCTTTCTCCTAGGCCATCGATTTTCAGTTATTTATAATCATTTATGCGTATCGATCCGCATCCCGCGATAATGGCTTTCGACGCCGGGCGTCCGGAGACGCTGCGGCGAAGAAGAGAGGGCTGGCTGACGGAGGGTGAAAAATCGCGAAAGGGGCACGGAGGACAGTGGTACGAGATGGGAAAGCAATCGGCGTTTAATCATCGCGCACGTTTCTGACCCATTTATGTGCAACGTCGTCGCTGGAGAACAAAGCTGTTTCGATTCCAGGCCACTTCGTCGACGCCGGGACGGCTTTATTATTGACGCTCCAATCTTTACACCTGTGCAACTTCACCGGGATTAACGGGTCGGATTCTTTTAAAAATTCATCCATCGACTCGCGTCGAGTTCCCATTCCGGGGTATAAAACTCCTGGGTATAAGTTCCGCTCGATAAGAATTATGTACATACGCTCCGTAAGTACTTCGACGAGTGCCTCTCTCTGGATCAACGTTAAACTTATCGTGGATCAACTGACCGTTCCTCCACTTTCAAAATTTCGTACATCGATCATTCGACCTATTGTGACAAGTTTCGCGTTGATACCAAATTGCCAAGCCTGTCAAAATGACCGACGAGTTCCAGAGTCTTTATTTCTAAAATTTCCGAAGATATAAGCATAAATTTTATCAAAACAAGTGCACGATAGACGTGAGTCTATGGGGACTTGTCGTAGGTATCTTTGATGTATCGGTGGTGATACAAGAGATGAAAGGAAAAGGAAGGGGTACATTTCATCCTGGGCCTGCCATAGGGCTCATCAGTTAGGCTACCCAGCAGACCAATTTAACATAGGTTCAATGGGCCAGAAATTAGATACAATAATGTATATATACAAAGAAAGAACCAAATCGTACAAAAGGGATACAAATGAAAACTTGGATTATAAGATCGATGATTCCAGCGTGAAGCACTCGCGATGTAAGATGAAACTTAAGCCTTTGCACTCGAGAGGCGATTCTCAGTCGCCATTAAATCAGATTCTAAAGATCGGTGTTAATTAATATATCAAATTTAAAATTACTTAACAATGCGTGGAATGTGGAAATAAAATAATTCTACGTATTACTTTGCATACGATTTCTTATTTACCGTTTTAAAAATGTTGTCAATTTTATGGCAGAAAGTCTTCGAATTACTATTCTTCTGCAACGAAAACATCGCCGAGTGGGTAGGATAATATAAACCTAAGAACTACCTTATATTACAATACGTGTTTGCCTATGTATAGAAAAGCACGAAAACAATACAGCTTTTGGTTTCAGGTGGGTAAGGTGCAGGGGGTGGACTAGATAAATAAATAAATAAATAAATAAATAAATAAATAAATAAATAGGAGGAGAGAGGGATCTGGTTCTATCTCAGACGTGGATACTATTGGAAAGCTTGGAAATTGTACACATAGGAAAGGAGGGTTTTTACGAAGGACTTGCAAGAAAGTAGCAATCCATCTATTAACGAGGGTGAGAAATGATGCCATTACAAGTCCTATCGATTTTCGTTACACCATTCCGACTATAATCTTCCACTGTTACGTGGCACACCGACACCTCGAACTTATATTTATTTCTCGAAGAAACTACCAAAAATAATTCCAACCCCAACACGACTCTACGAGACCCAAAATTCCCCACTCGACTGACCTATCCTGGTCCCCTGCAAGATTACAGAAAGCACGCTCGAAACGGCCATTTACGTCTCGTCGGAACCCCCTAACCCGAAACCTCGCAATTTCAGTGATCTGCAAGGGAAAGCATCCCCGTATCGCGGACGAGCCCCTTGGCCCGATAAGCTCGCATCGCGGCTTCACCTCCACGTTTTCTCTGCGAAGACTCGAACGTTTGCCAGCCCGTACACAATCGTGTGCGTCCCGAGCAGCGAGGGCCATAATTTCGAGCACGAAACGAGTTTTTAATTCAACGGGAGCCGGAGGAACGTGGCCCCGATGCATACGGGATACCATCCGCGTGGATCCACCTGCT